ACCCACATGATAAATGATAACTTCATTGCAGACGCATGAACCATATTTGCAGTCGGCTGATCCGTGTTGAATGGACTTTGCTCCGCGGCCGGTGACAAGTCTAGTCTATGTACATACAGGAAGTCTACAACGACAGATGTCATGCTGAATAATACAAAGTAAACCAGAGAGGCTGACAAACTTGACAGCATAGTCTGTCCCAGGCTGTTCCATAATCAAAAGAGTGATGGTTTCGGCCTTCTTCTGCTAACGGCTTTGCTTGTTTCCATTTCCTGCCTTTCTCTCAGTGCCCGTTCCCGTCCGTTGTCAGAATCATGCTATCATGTTCAATATCGGCACTCGTCCCCGACACACTACAGCAGTATGGATGCCTAGACTAGCGTACGAAGCGGTGGACACTGCTGGTGAAATTGAAACGACATCGAAAGAGGAGTACTAAAGCTCGAGCTTTCACACCCCACGCGTAGAGTTCATCGAACACACTCACGTGTGCAAACATGGCCTGTGTAGCAACGCCGTTCGGCGTGTGTGGAGAAAAATGCCGTTGGCACTTACTTGGAGGGGTGTAGAGAATTTGCCCATGCTCGAACGAGACTTCCACAGAGAGGCCACACGTCAGTCCCAGTGGAGGTAAACCACGCCATCCTAGCCGTCACTCTCGGCTCGCTCTCCTCCCTACCCTCCTCTGCCGCTGCTCTGTGCTGTGTGAACTCTGTCAATCGCTGCGGTGCTCAGCTTCGCTTGGCTGGGTAATTGCAGGCAGTCTGGATTACGCACAAGAGGAGGCGCGCAAAGGCATCTGGGCCCTCTCTCGGCTTCGTCTTTTCCCTGGCTGTCATGTATGCTCCTCTCCTGCTGCTCTCTTGTTACGCGGGCAGGTGGTGGGTGCTGGCGTGCTGGCGTCTGTGTCTCCGGCCTCGTTCGTGAACACATGAACACTGAACACCCTGAACTGCACTGTCACTTGTGAGCCAATGGCATCCGCCAAAAAAAAAAAGGTTTGCCCCCATCTCCCACAACTTGGGGAGGAGGTCTGTCTTTCGCCTTGCGGGTGTGCGCTCATCATGGTCATGACAATGTCGCAGGGTGCATTTTTGGTGCCGCCGAATGGCAATACGCGTGATGGAGCTACTACCTGTACATAGGGCACGACTGTAGCAAGTTCAAACCCGCCATGACATGTTCATAGTTTATAGGCACATGAATCTGCTCGAGCGTGTCCATTGCATCCTATCTATGTGATTTGTCCAGGGGTGAGCGGGTCGACGTAAAGTGAATGCCTCCCAGCCGATTCTCGCCTGGGAGTCTTTTTGTTTCTTCTCTTTTTTTTTCTGGAGTTTTTTTTTCTGGAGTTTTTTTTTTCCGGCGTGGCAGTTCTACAACATGATGATAGCTACATAGCGATACATAGATTTCTTGTGATGACGTCGTGGTTACCTCTCGCCTCGAATCCACACCAAGCAGTATACATACCAGCACGTGCACGCTGCTCTCTGCTGCTGCTGTCGGCATCACATTCACTCCCATTTCATTATTCTTCGTATTTTGGCCACCACCGCGTTTTTCACGCAGCAGGCATTTCGAGAGCAAGCCAGTCCCTTTTTCCTCTCCATAGTAGACAGAGGCAGAGAGGTATATATAGCAGCAGACATTGCAAGCAATGCCAAATTCATAATCAACACAAATAAAACGATGACTGACTGTGGCTGCCGCGAAGCTCACCATTAATAACAACGTCTGTCACTCGTGATGGTGAGTTGATCATAGTCAATCGTATGTATTTGATTCGCAGAAAAAACGAAGGCATGTAGTATGTAGCAATTCGTACGCCAACCAACAATCAAGCAATCGTTGGTTGGCTGTATGCTTGGCCCTCCACTCTCAAGATATATACATAGACAGATAGTCTAGTTGGAATCAATCGTGTTTGTGAGGCGCAAATATAGTGTTTCACCAACTATTTATCGTGTACGTATACTACATGAGACGCCTGCCTGTTGCAGCAATTTCAACCATCATGTTCGTTCATACTGACTGGTAGGCACCACAAAAAGTACCCTATGCTATGTGACAGGTGTACCCAAGGTGTAACGGGTCTAGGAATATATTACCGATGACTCCCCGATCGATTCTACGGAAATTTTCGTTTTTTGCAAGGGTCTACTGTAGTCTACCCGATATGTTTTCGCCACACAGTCCCGGTGGGCGGCGGTACCTACCGTACCGCCGGTCCGCCGTTTCTTGCTTCAATCACCTCCCTCCGCCGAATTCGTTTCCGCCGAAAAAAGCAAAAAAAATACCACCTATCTTAACAAACTTACCACCACCGCCACCCTAGACTAAACTAGATAATATATATGGGGTGTTACCGTCGAAAAACCGCCGCCACGTTTATTTTCGTTTTACCGCCCCCCCCAAACGTGGTGTCATATTAAGAAAAAAAAAAAAAAAGTCCCTACCGCCGAAAAAAGCGCAAAAAAAGCGCCTGTGCGGGACTGTAGGAGCCGGTACCTCGACGGATGAAGGAATTTACGTAGGCTGGAATCACATCTCGTTCGGTCAAGTGTGAGACTGTTGCAATGACGGATGGGTGGGGCCACAACAACATTGTTGGGTGTACTCCGCACTGTGTAGATACGGATCTACGGATCGTGTATGTATGTATGTGGGTGTGTGTCACCGGAAGGGCGGAGCCCCTTCTGGTATGCAGGGCTTGCTTGCCTTACTGTTCACTCGTTAATTTCGTTAATGCAAAGGTCTTTAGACAACCTTTTCTCCACAGCCTCTGACGCTAAGTACCCGCTACCCAACACGATACGTCGTCACGCCCTGACGGCGGCCATGTCGCCGGGGCCATGCCTTCGTCTTCTGCCGCCGGGCGCGGTGTTGCCGCCGGGGACACCGGAGCGGCGTCGTCACGCCCTGCCGGTGGCTACGCCGCCGGGGCCAAGCCTTCGTCATCTTCCCCCGGCCGCGGTGATGCCGCCGGGGATTCGGGATCAACGCCATCTTCGCTTGCGGTGGAGGCCTAGTCGTGGTGTTTCCTTTGCCCTGTCGGTAGAGGAAACGGGTGAGCGCTCCGCAGCGGTTGAGCGGCGACGCCGCCGGTGGAGGCGCCTAGCGGTCGTTTCTTTTGCGGTGGCGTAAGGAACGGCTGGGCGCGCCATGCGGGGCGGCGGGGCGGCGGGGCGGCGGCGGCAGCGGCGGCGCGGCCGGCGATCGTGTTTCTTTCGGAGCATCGGCGGGAGAGACAACTAGTCGCGGCGCGTTGCAAGGCGGATCGGGTAGGATTGGGGATGAGATTTCGCGGATCGGGGATGGGGTTTCGACGTAATGGAACGATGCGGCGGCACCACCGGTGGTGGACAACTGGGACGGCATGGTGCATGATCAAGACATGGGTATGAGCACGCGGCGGCAGCGGGATAAGTACAAGGTCACGTCCGCCGTTACCAGATCCAGCGCCAAACGCCACTTGGGTCTTGGGGACTTTTGCTCTGCTTGCGACGGAAGCGCGGACCATTGATGACCTTCACGACGAGGTCTGTCTGGCACCGCCTCTTCCTACAGAACCGGCATGTGACCTAGAGACACCGGCGACCTACGCGCAAGCGGATTCTGGGCCTCAAAACCGCGTCTGGACGCATGCGGAGGAGAAGGAGGTCGATGACTTGTCTGTGGCGGGGACATTCGTAGAGCCGGCGGGAGTCTAACAACGAGCAAGATGAGCAGCGCCAAAGGGGCCTGCTGTCGCGGGCAGAGGGGAGCTTGAATCTCCTGCGGCGTTGCTTCTGGTCTACATGTAGACGTGCTTGGATTCGACCACCACGTCCGCCGGGATCCTACAGCCGCAGTACATGTAGACGTGTGTCTTGATGGGTTTCAGACTTGGTTCGCCAGGCTTTGCCTGCGCGGAACGCGCCCCTGGGGAATTGAGCCAGTTTTTCAACTTTTACCGTCAACCAAACGCGCCACGGAGGCCAACAGAGCTCCGGGCACGAGTGTTAATGTACCGACGGGCCTCGTGCGTGCCCCTGAGAAGGAATCGCGAGAAACGACTCGTTTCCGCGAGGGAAAGAGTGCCGAAGCATAAAAAGTGACCAAATCTTACATGCCCATAGAGTGTAGTCGTTCTCTGGAGAGCAGGGCCAGGGTCACACTGAAAAAGGAAGATTTGAGCCTCTACGCAGAGATGAGCAATGGCAGTTTTCTGTGTGCCTGGCCACACACAAACAATACGTTGGGGGGGTGGGACTGCTGTGAGTCACATTGCCATGCCGTTTCAAGCGTGAAACCATGGATTTTTTGTCCAATCAGAACCCTCCGTAAATAAGAAATGGCCAAACAAAACTGCGGGCACCTACTAAGGTGTGCGGTCACCCGGAATGAAGTTCCCTGTCTAAGATGCAAGGCAAGTACACATTCCAGGGTCGAAGGAAACGCGCAGCTGTACAAGCCACATAAATACGAAAACACGCCTCCGAGACACCTACAGCAGTTAACCAAGTCAAATAGAGAGTGAAACTAAATAAAAAATATCTGGTACCAGGTACTTAAGTTGTAAATAGTTGTAAATAGGAGCCACGTTCGTCGGTAGAGAGCCTTGTAAGGCCAAAAAAATGCCGTTGATACGAGCGCATCACAACATGATAATATTTTGGCCACTTCGTCATGGAGGACGACAGGCTGGTGCTTACATCGTTGCTGCATGTAGGAAGGGGCGTAGGTGCTCTCTCCGCACGCCGGGTACCCTAACAACTTTATGTCCACCCAACCTCAACAACATCACTTTGGGGGGTTCGGGCAATCAACCGTGAAAGGTACGCCTATGAAGCCCTCATCCCTGCCAATCACGATCTTGACAAACTCGAGATGACATAGGCCACGGGTTGCATCTCCTCCCTGATTCTTACCAGGGAGGCTCATTCTGCCTCCTATCACTTGGCACGGCCCAGGGGGATTCGCTTACAACTTTCACCGCGGTCACCATCCTCATGCCCCTATCGCTGCTCCCGCCCTATGGGGTCGGGAGTGGCATCAGAGGGTTGTGTCAAGTCCAAGAAGCCCGAGTCGTCGACGTCCAACCGTGTCCAGCCAGAAGCGTCGACTACGAAAACGTTGATGAAACCGCCTGTTTCGGTTTGAACGAGTAACAACAAGTAGGAGAGCGGAAACAGGAGACTGACGACGACGACGCGAATGAAATCATATTCTCAAGGGCTGCGAAACATAAATAGTTGGGTGTCATCCAGAAATCGCAAAGAAAAGAAAAAAAAAGCGGCATCAGTAGACAGCGACGCGAATACAAACCATACCCGCAAGGTCTGCGAAAGAAACCACCAGGAGGTGGATGTAGGAGTGCCTGGATAAATCGGCAGGCGCAAGTTGCTATACTATTGCATAGTATCTCTGTGGGAGGTGAGCATGGGAGAGCAGCAATACCACTCACCGATTGACCAAGCGTGTGTTCCCCCCGTCATCAGCCAACCCCGATGGCCAACGCCGAGCTAGAAACGTACCCAGTAAACCCCAAAGCGAAGAACTTAGAAATGTAAATGTCCTTCATGAGAGTCGAGTGCAGTGCGAGTAGACGACCACTGGCATCGAGCCCCGCAACCGTGGTCCCGGTATAAGGCCGTGTGACGCCAAGGGAATCGGCTTGCCGTCTATAAGGTACCCGCAAATGTTGAGAGTATGAAACAACTCGAATAAACATCTGTTCTACACGGTTTCGCAAGCAAGCCATGTACAGGGCGACCGGAGTCATTTACGCTATATCGGGGCCACTGCCGTGAATACCGAAATCCTCCACTCAGCGAACCTTCCACTGCAAGAGCTGCTCATGTGGAACCTCACCTGAAAACGCGTCCCGATAGGTGGCGTGACGAACCGCCCTCTTGGCGAGATCGGCGGCTTCTTCCAGAGACATGCCGTCCCGGTACCCTTCATCCAGGACACTGTACGCGTACGTGCTCCCTGACCTGTTTCGCAGAACGAGAACACGGACAGAAGGTAAAAAATGTTAGGATGTCGATTCACTCGAGTGTATTCATGAAATGAGCAAGCACACTGTACCGTGGGGGGGGGGGGTGTACTCCTAATCCTGCATGCCGTAATAATTAAACCATCCACCTCCCATCCCTACAAAGCCGGGACGGAACACGCCGGGTTCTCACCGGACCAGGCTCTCGGGGGGGGTGGGGTTAATGTTCTCCATGAATACAGACACCGGTTTGGAACTGTTAAAAAAAAATTGTGCATGAAAGACGTCACGTCAGCGACAGAGATATCCCTACCCCCTGTGTCTGATACGCTGGGACGAAAATCGCACGTAGGCGCTACCCAACACATTAACTTCGAGGGCACGTCACTTGACGTACACAAAGTCCGCTGATGACCCAACCTGAGGTGGATACTTGCGGGGCGACAGTTCGGCCAAAGTCGCTGGAAACAGTGTCACGTGCACGGTTTCGGACGGGACCAACCCGGGAGGTAGGACCGCAGGAGGCGAGAGGGCACCGAGGACAGGAAATTCTCCAATCGATATGAATCAAGGACGGCGGGTCGAGATGGCGCTACTACTGCGAACGGCACTTCAAGACAAGAGGGTCGAGAAAACAGTTGTCAATACGTCCACAATGTTTCTTGTGCGTAAAAGCAAACCGAAAAGGGCAGTATTTCTGTTTTCTGCCTCGCCTGTGCTTCCCCTTGACACCTTTACGCTGTTGGTCACTTCTCTCAAAAATTCACACGTCACTCCCTTGTTCGGCCTCCCTCATTCTTGTGGACTCCACCCAGCCCACAAGCTTGTGCCACAGAGTGACCCCACCGACTGGAAGAAGGGCCAACCATGCATCGCCCGGCAAACTTCATCCAACACATCCCTAGGACCGGGGTGCTATATCGAACGGATACAAGTAGTCTTCTTTGACCTAATGCTCGTCTCATTAAAAATCAACGCGCAAACCAACCTCACACACACACGCGCGACAACGTGTAAGCTCGAGAAGCACACAAAACCAACGGCTGTGGTCATCGTTTGACAAGGCGGGGTTGCCAAAAAACACAAACCGACGTCCAGCCCGTCTCTCTCACCCCACAGAGAAGTACCGTCCCTTCACCCTTGCACCGTCACTGTCCACATAAAACAGCTGCCCTCCGCCTTGATTTCCGCCGCTGACACTACCCCTGCCGCTGCTGTCTCTGTTGCCCCTGTCGTGTCCCATGATCATCGTGCCCACCGATAGCCCCTTCCCTCTCTGGCCCAGGAGAGCGTCCGCGAGCACCCGCGCTGCTGTGGCGACAGGCATTTGGAACCCATTTCGGTCTTCGAAAACCTTGGCCTAAATTGCGAGATGGGGATTCACGCGATAAGTGCGTGTTGGCGACATGGCGGGGGGGGGAGGTGTACACGTGGTCATGTATGCGACAACCTTTTGTAAAACCTACGTACTCCTAGGCCAGCACGGAGCATGTCTGTGTTTTCATTCGCACAGCCAGCAGGGGATTTAGGCAAGAGCGGGGTTGTCCCCGTTTATTGCGAGCGACTGAAGTTCTGGCGAACGAGACACTGCCAACGGCTACTCTCCACTAAGTTCAGAACTATTGAAGTTCTTTGGCCGTATCAAAAGTACGTACTAGTGTCCCGCTGGTGGGGAAAGGCTTCGGAGGGTATTTATCCGAAAAAAACACCCGAGACATTTCCTAGAAAATGTGTGCTGCATCGTTCTCGCTCACCAAACACGATTTCATGTAACTTGGATTCACAAAAACCATGTTTAAAGCAGGTTCGAAGAGGGGCCAAGCGAGCTAGCTCCTCACCTGCATGCCCAAGTATCGCAGCCAGAAGGTGCAATCTGCCGCTCCCCCGGCCATGGTGCCAAGGATATGCTGCGACACTGGAATGACCTGTGTGCGATAGATACAAACACCCCGTCAGCCGGGGATCGACTTAGAGCCTTGAGTCAGAGAGTGCTTTCCAAGGCACAAAGTGGGAACGAAAACAATCATGACGACACAGCACCGGAGCAAGTGCATGGCAAGCGTCGCAAAACACATCGTGGATACGCATAAATGGCGAATATTAATTTTCTCGTCCCACAGTTGTACGACATCTCCACGAGATAGCTCCGCCTTGGGGGTGTCGAACCGCTGCTACCGGGTACGCCAACCATCGCTGAAGTAAAGCAAGTTCAGCACCAGTGGGGGACAGGGAACCAACTCCGCTATACGAACCTCTTGAGGGTCTACCGCAACTGGTGCTCTCCGGCACCCCCGCGATCACTGGTTGCTAAGCAATCGCCAAGCCTGCAACCGACCATGCGCCGGTGCAACCCCGTACAAATCTCCCCCCCCGCCCACCTCGAACCATTTCTCGTTTGTCCCGAGCCCATGATCCACCTGACCCGATACTCTTCGTCGGGAAACGATGTCGATTCGGCGGTGTGATGAAAAAGAAACATCTTGTCAAGAGACCCATCTCGTTCACACCCATCCGAAGCCCCACTTCGAAGCGAAAAACAACGATAGCTAGGCGCAACTTTTCCCGACGATCATATACAAGACTTCAGCACATCCCCTTCGACTGTGCTTTTTTCTCGAACGGGTAGTATTTCCGTGTCTTACGATGTATATTTTCTGGCATTCCGAGCTCATTCGCCCCGTCCCTCAAGTTCCCTTCATCTCGCCGCCGCAACGACAGTACCACCACCCTCTCCAAGCCTCGCCTTCTGAGTCGTGCGGGAGCCCACGAAAGAGCCCATGCTGGCGCGAGAGTCCACCGCCGCTATCACGCCGCCGTCGCACACGAGCGCTACCGTCGTCGTGCCGTGGCTCAGCTTGAGGGGCTCCGCCCCCGGCGCCGCCACCGTGTAAGGGTCCCCTCCTCCTGAAGAGGCACATACACGGGGCGGGCATTTGACGTACGTGTCGATACCTTCGAGGAGGCTCGGGAATGGTTGGCGGAGAGGTCACCGGCAGACTGATTTAATGGAGAAGATTGATTGCGGCGGTAGCCTGCCACTATTGATCAGGCTCGAAAGGCCAATGATCCAATGACAGAAGTTGTCGAGACACCGCGGTCAGCGTCACTACAAAAGTCACTGGTTCATGACAGCTACTCGGCTATAGCGCCACCGCACAGTAGGAGTCCCAGGCTGTCCTTGATGGACGGGCTCTTCCGCATGCGTACGAAGCCTTTGCACGGGAGAACGAGACAATTCCGGAGGTTGCGCGATGGTCTGGCAAGCCCGCACCCGATCAATATCCGGCGGAGAGAACGGGAAACACTCGACACTCCCAAGACAAGCACTCGACCTTCCCCAGCCACACCCGATCAGTATCCGTACATAATCATCAACACTCGAAGTTTTCGAGCTAGCATGCACATCCCCGCAGAAAAAAAGAAAGTGCTGTGACGCGTAGGGTCGGTGACTGCTGCCTGTCGGTAGCCTTGTCGTGATCCGGGACCGCAAGACGCGAGCGAGCCGAAAGAGCCAGTGCAAGACTTCCCGCAACACACGCACAGTCGGCCGGCCTCCTCGGTCCCTACGCTTTGCCGGTACGGTGCAAAACTCAAGAACCAGCTACGTTCTCTGCGGCAGAGCACTAGAGCCCCCCTATCCTTTGCTGTGTGCGGTCCACCGTACAAGTCTGTACCGTACCTGCCCTACCCGCCATCCTAGCCGATCCAGCAGCCCCCTTCATCGTGCGCGCCAGGGGAGAATTGTCGCCAACACCCTGGAAGATACTGCTACCGCCGGGTGAAAAGGGCACCGACGGTGTATGAGCAGTGGCGGTGGTGGCGTTTACAGAGAAGAGCGCGAGTAGGACCACGGTGAGACGCCGTGTCCGTCGTCCGGTTGCACTGCTGCTGTCATGATGGTGATGCTGCGGGCGTCGTCTTCTCTGTGCGGGTAAATACGCCATTAGTGTTGCGATATGTCTGGGACGAGGTTCTCAACCCGCTACTGCCACAACTACTGCTGCTGATCAACTCTCTTTCTCTCTCTCTCTCTCTCTCTCTCTCTCTCGACGCGCCCCCTAGTCACCTACAGCATCCCTAAATCTCACTGCTCTAAGCCCTGCACTGCTAGGCCTCGCCGCCCCGGCAGGTCACCAGGTGTCTCTGCCGGGATGGCGGCCCGCCGGATGAAATACGCACGTCCCTTGGACCAAACGTTTCAGTTCCCGTTGCCCCCCCTGGCCAAGGTCGATGGTGAGACACAGCAGTGTCCTACCGCGAATACACGCCCAACCAAGGAGCCAACACACACCCAAAGCTTGCACCAATCTTTGGCCTTATATTTGTGGCAAGAGTTGCCCCGGAGGACTGTTGCTGTGGACCCTCGTCCGTGCAGCAAAACGATTGTGCGATCGTCCGCAGCAATTGCGCCGCATTCGCCACAGGCCTTTTTTGTAGGATACACCGCTCCCGCTTTCTAGGATCTCACACATAGATCTCTACCCCCAACGATGGCCAGACGGGGGCGCGTCCCCGGCCAGCTACTGGTAGCGGCATCGATTCTGCCGTCCTTAGCACTGTTCGGCCAGATCGAAGACCGGAGTGCGCGCGGGCAGCTTCAAGCTAGCGCGGCTCTGGCGACGCTGGGGTATGTGGCCACGATCTACGTGCTCCCGACGTTCACTCCCTTCCTGGCTAGGAGCGGGCTTACGGGCAAGGACCTGTGCAAGAAGGGCACCGCGTCTGCCGAGAAAGAAATGTGAGTGGTTGGGACCGCAAAGTTGTGATCAGGTCTCCGCGTGCACGATACAGTCTCGCACTCATGGGAGCAGCCCCTGGATACCTACATATCTGCCGGTGCTGCTCTCAGCGTTCGCGTCGATATGTAGATCACGCACCGCTGTTCGGTCGTGGCTATGCCATCGTCCACCTCACGTACAGAGAAAATGATGCTGAGTGCGGCAGCGGTAGCAGTGCATCGAATCGTCAGTAGGTACAGTAGTCGTGCCCGGCCATCACACTTGTCCGTGCTCTGCAGGGACGAGGGGCCACGTGTTCCCCGTAAATTCCACCGCAGGGATGCATGCATGCACACGGCTTTTGCTGTTGTGAAAGTTTCGACGTGTGGAACGCATGGTGTATCGTTTTCGCCTTTCCTCAAACGCCGTGACGGAATTTTTGTCAAGTAGGTGCCACGGTATTTTTGCGTGGTGGGCTTCCAATAACACGATGTGTTGGTTAGGGATCCAGTAGCCTACCTTGCTTGACAACAGACCATGTGTTCCTTGCGAGCTGTGGAGATGATCGTAACAGTACCATCCGAGAGGTTGTTGTCCACGGAAAAGATGGACTCTTCCCCCGAGCTGGTCCGAAATACCCCAGGGACTCGAATGCTCGTGCTATGCCTTCACCAAAACAAGGCGCAACACTAGAACATTAATCCATTGCGTGCGATTTTTACCGTAGGACGTACCACTCCCTGAGGATGTGCACACACCATTTATAACAGATGGTGCGTATATGTGTTTGCGAGTGGCTATGTGTCAGGGTTCAGGCGTGTTATTCAAGACGCAGCAATCATACATTCAACGGTGACGACAGCATCTTTGGTACGCACCGCGTTCTATGTGTTGAAATTTTAGGTCAGGAAATATACGTAATAGTCAAAGAGAGACTACCCGTTACATATAGTCAAAGAAAGACTACGCGTTCGAGATATCACCACAGTCGGATATATTTATGGTATGCTCTCTTGACTTTGCTTTCGGCATCCCTTGCTGAATCGTTTCTTTTATTTTTCTGAGGAACAGTCCGGAAGGCACTGGAGTCATCGCGGGGACGATGTTCCTCATCTGCGTGGTGATCTTACAGCTCTTCTACGGCAGGGATTCCTCTGACAAGGTGGGTAAAGAAGGCAGACGCGAGGGGTGGGGGTCACAGTGCTGGTACTAGAAGTGGGATGGGGGGGGGGGGTTACGTTGCACCTGTCGCAGGGCAGAACTCCGTTGACAAGGTGCCACAAGGTGCGAGAGGGTAGATGTGGCTTGTTCAGCATTGCGGGGGAGGGTGTCAGAGTTTCAGAGAGTGCTTCGGGGGCGGGGGAGAGGCGAACGAACTAACCGTCCGCTTGCCTTGCCTGCCTTGTGAGACCATGGCATAGACTTTATTTTCCGTTGAATATGTTTTCACTCGGCTCACGGGTCCCCTTTACTCCAGTGGGTATCGCTTCCTGACAGACCGTACGATCATTCCCGCGGGTGTGCCGTTCATGCAAAGACTCGAGTCAGTTCCATATTGTTTACTTTCAGAAGCGGGTATGTATCCTCCATAGGTTGAATGTGTTTTTTCCTATTTAGTGTTTTTTTTGTTTTTTCCTTTTTTTCATGCCTCCGCTAACGAATTGCGCCAGAAGACCATATTGTTTGACGATCGTTTTCCGTGCTGAAAGAAATTTGGTTTCCGTGTGTGAATTTATTTACTGAACACCGGGTTTCTGCAGCAGATCAGATGAGACCGCAAGGCAATATATAGTGATGTTACAAGCTGAGAGAGTAGCAAAATAACACACCTTTCTGCAGTTGTATGATGTTTTTGTTGTGCTGACCTTGTGCACATCTCCTTTGTTCTCTGGGCAGATGGTGGACTATCTGTCGGCCCTGCTGTCGATATGCTTTATGACCTTTCTCGGCTTTACGGACGACGTTCTTGACCTCCCCTGGCGGTGAGACACCACGGGTCACTTCTTTGCAGGGTTGCTGTTGCTGTTGCTGCTGTTATTGTTGTTGCTGTTGTTGCTGGTTGTTGTCTCATTCGATGCTCACGCTGACGGTTGCAGTGTACCCCTGGAAGGAAGTGGTTTGGCCTTTCTCGGCGGGAGAGCTTTGCGGCTGTTTCGGCGTGGCTGGCCGCAGTTCTGATCTCGTTCGTGTTAAAGTTTCACGTGATGATGTTGACGTTGGTACTAATACGGTGACGCTGGTGTTGTTGATGATGTTCTGCCCCCCTGCGGCTGTCTATAACTTGCGGATCACTTTCTGTTCTGACCTTGCCCACTTCCATCCCACGAAAAAACAATAAGTCCGTTGGTGATCATTGTACACCCTTTTGCTTGTCGATTGTGTCTTCGCTTTCTTTCCGGCAAAACACTCCTTTGACTGGACGCCGCACCCGTGCGCGTACACGAAGGTACAAGCTTCTGCTTCCTACTGTTGCGACTCTTCCTCTGCTCTGCGCTTACGACGGCAGCACATCTATTGTCGTGCCCAGGTGATTTGAATACGTGAAAAGTGTCCGACTGGCATCCAACGCATGGCAATAATTTGTCTTCCTCGGCACGTCAGTTGTTACCGGGGACGTAAGAACTGAGCCAGGGTTCTTATAAGCTACGGTTCAGCAAGAGAAATAAGTTGCGGCTCGGTAAAACTGTATTCAGGGCCCTGGTAAGTTGCGGTTCGGTAATACTACGCCAGGGCTCTGAGTAAGTTCCGGTTCGCCGCTGCCGGTCAACCCCTTCGCGGACGATTCCCTCCCGCGGCGAAACGATTCAGGCCTTTGGATCACCTGCTGGTTGCGGTCGGAGCAGGAGGAGGGGGCGACAGCGTATTGACTCTGGTGGGGAGAGCGGTATCGTCGGTGTTTTCGATCACCGTGCCGGGCAAGCTGGGCGGGGTGGTGCTCCTCGATCTAGGCGAGTTCATCGCTAGCTGTGTGCGCGGTGCGGTTTGTGTGATATCAGAACCGTCGTTTCTCGTCCTGACTGGGTTGGGTGGGCGAGAGGAAGCCCAGGGATGAAAACGCTGGATCCCTCCCCCTGAATTTTGTTCATGACGCTGTCGGGGTTCTAGTGACATTTTGTTTTGCTCACTGCTCTTCAAGCAGAACACCCATCTCCATCCCAAACGCTTCACATATAGGCAGTTTGTTAACTCTGATTCGCTTGTTCGATGATCGATCGGGCCTGGCGGCCTGGCTCCACACAACCAGGCATGGCGTACATGGTGTACATGGGCCTGCTGGCCGTCTTCTGCACGAACGCCGTCAACATCTACGCCGGTATCAACGGGCTGGAGGCCGGGCAGTCCTTCGTGGTCGCCTGCGCGATCCTCGCCCACAACATGCACGAGCTGCGGCGTGGGAGAGATACGGGCAAGTTCGCCTGCACAGGGAGATTCTCACTTGCTGTGCTGTCCTCGTGGGGGGAGGGGGGGGGGTCCGCAGGTCTCCTCGGGCCGATTTTTGGGGCCGTCCGTATATGAAGAGACTGAGTTTGGCGTACGCGACGTGTCATTGCCGGGACTGTCACATTTTTTTACCCTACCCTGTCGCATTTTTTCCCCGCGATCCTCCCCGGAAAGCACACACACACACACACACACACACACGCAAAAGCAGTGCACACACCCTTTCTTTCCGTTTCCGCACCCCGCGGCGCGTCTGGTGGTGCCCTAAACACGCCTGTGCTTGATGTCGAAACCCTCCCCTCTCCTGTTTGCAGGAAACCATACCTTCTCGGCCATGCTCCTGCTGCCGTTCATCGGGACCACGCTCGGGCTCCTCCGGTACAACTGGTGAGCTTTCAACATCCTCGCGCGCGCACCACGTACGTACCACAGGGTTGCATTTTGATTCCACACCCCCTGGACCGATTTTTCAAAGCTCGATTTTGCTCCACGATGACGAGGGTGCCAAAATATCAAGCGGTGTACGTTTTCGTAGCGATCTCGACGAGACGATTCCAATGCCGCCATTTTCGACACCGTCGTCGTTTTTGCTGCCAAGCGCTCGAGCTTTGAGAATCGGTCCAGGGGGGGGGGTGGTATCTTATGCAACACAAGTATGAAGTACTCGTTGGTGTTGTTGTTTGATGTTGGTCGAATGGTGTATGTGGAATATGTTGGTTGCAAGCACGCCTCGAGCATGTTGGTCTCCTGCGGTGAATTTCTACACCCACTCTTGTCCAGCTGTTTTTGTCTCAGCGCCTTGATGCAGTTGTCGGCGCCCCTTGGCATGCAGTCTCAAACGTGCCCTACCGAATACGAACGGTCTTGCCATTAGCCCCCCGCACCACATTCGTAGCTCTACGCAGCGACGCTACAACGCTCGGCTACGTTTTCATCCAGTTCATAACGCCGTGAGTTGTTTCCGTACCGATTAGTGTTTTTCCGTATGGCGCGCACCCCTTGCGGCTATTCCGCCCTTGCCGTCGATGTACATACTCGTTTCAACCCTCTTATGTGCAGAAGAAGCGATATCGCCAAGTTGATGGCGTTGCGCGTGGTCGCTTTTCCACGACAAGTATATTCACTCCTACAAGTCTCCGCCGCGGGTGTCCCCCTCCCTTTCCCTTTGCTCTCGCCCAGGTACCCGGCGCGCGCTTTCGTGGGAGACACGTACTGCTACTTCGCCGGCATGACATTCGCCGTGGTCGGCATCCATGGCCACTTCAGCAAAACTCTCATCCTCATGTTCTTGCCCCAGGTGTTATTTTTTTTCATTGTCTCGTCGCTGCGTGTTTCGTGTTTTCTGTTTTTTTCTTGAAACAAACACAACAAATCCGTCTCTTCCAGAGATTTGGGTCCGGGATGGATATGCAATTCATCATAATTGTAAGTTATTTGTTTTTCTTCTGTAGTTGCTGGCCGTTTTGTGTTGTGGTGCCGATAGCCCCGCCCATAATCTGGTTGCCCTCCGTTCGCCGGTATTCCTACCGTTTCCAATGTCTCTGCGGCAGTTTGTTGTCGTGTCCGATGCGCGATTTGCTTGCCTTCCCTGCCCGTTCATTTCAACCAAACACGGCGTCGAGAGCAACGCATCTTTTTTTTTTTCGCGTGTCCTATTACCGGATTCGTTTGTTGCGTACGTCTGACTTTGGCCGTTTTTTCTTGGCAGGTTACGAACTTCCTCTTGTCGGTGCCGCAGCTGTTTAAGGTTTTGCCTTGCCCGAGACATCGTCTGCCTAGGTGCGAGTTCTCTGGGTCCATTTTGGTTGAATAGCAGGGCTGTGAGCGAGTTAGGTTTGTGCAACTACGTCCATGATGATGCTGCCCAGGCGGCAAGGAGAGGGGAGCTCTGCAAGTGGGGGGCCGTGCCTGCCGTAGTCGTTAGAACATTCACCTCGCATCCCTACAACGACGGGGGGGCTTTGACTCCTCAGCCACTAGCGCGTACGGTGCACCACTTGAGAAATAGTTTTGTTTCCAACCGCGCTTGTTCTCTCAGCAGTCGTGGACCATGTCTAGGGCGGCTAGCTGCGAAGGCTACCCCGAAGCGAAAAACAAACCATGTGTTGCATGATTTTCGTTGCAAGATATTAACTCGCCCAATGCGGGGTACCCGCTCGGCATACGTCCGTCCTGTCGGCGGCCCGAGACTGCACTTCAACTCAAGTTGAGCCTTGCTTCCTGGCGGGTGTTGTGCGGTTGTTGTGGCGCGACGCTCCTTTTGAACAGGATGGACACCGAAAAGGGACTGCTAGTGCCGTCGACAATGCCGTACAAGAGCGAGTTTCCGGTCTGGCAGTTCCTTAGATCGGGCCCAGGTGAGACGCTTCTTCCCCCCCTTGCCTCCGCGTAATTCCTTTTCCGATTGCCGTGTTCCGCTCACCCTTTCCTCAGAAATTGTTTTGCTCACTCACCGATATGGCTTTTGTTCCGAGGGCAGTGTTGCCACCCAGTTGAGAAACGCGGGTGAGGGGGGGTGTCGTGCGGTTGATTGAGTCCATGCCACCCCCGCTTCAGCCGCTATGCCATGGATTGTGCCAACGGTGAAGTGTCTTCCCCACTCTATCTGGCAACGCTGCCTTTATGATTCGGCCGTCGGGAAAGAAAAAAACGCCCCGCCGAAGAATGTCTTGAACGGGCCCAACGCTTGTCCCAGCCGTTTGGCCTACCTTTCGCGAGACCCACACGCTGACCTCGACCCGTACCGTAACATCTCGCTGGCTGATCGTGGTATTTATGCGCTGATATCCCGGTACGAGGAAAGCGAAGCACCAATATTTTCCTACGCGCTCTCTCTCGCTTCTCTCTACTCTATCCCTCACTCTCTCGGGCTCATTCTCCCTTTTGCTTTGGTGACGCTACTAGCCCCCTAAGGTTTGAGCGACAGACACCTACGATTCAAGAGTTGGTACTGCTGTAGGTTGGCCAAGAGGAATTGTAGTGTCGGGGTGGTAGACCATATCTTGCGTATCAGTGGGCCTTATACGGAGGGTTGAACACCCCAAACATGCAAACGTGAACACCTGCGCTGACTCATTACGCCTGCTCGGTCGGTGTCCCTTTGCCCTCCGTGCGGGGCGGACGTCCGTCCAGACGGTGAGGTGATCAACCTGACGCTCATCAACCTCGTCCTTCACGTCGTCGGACCTTTGCGAGAGAGATCCCTCTGCACGCTGCTTCTGGTAAGGCGAAAGGGAATAGTAGCGGAAGATATTGTTGGTGGACCAAGGATTGATGGACGGAGGGACAGGCGTACAGCGAGGGTGATCTCTCTCGCAGGCGTGCTGCTGCCTGTATGGCTGCCTCTGTCAAAATGTGTGCGGTATTTTGACAGTCCACGAGCATAAAATCCGTTCATAGCTGCAGTTTCATCTTCAATTTTGTGTGTCGTGTTGTATGTTTGGCATTTCATCCATGCCGCTTTTTACAGGTTTTAGTGGGTGACCTTCAACACATGCCCGTGTGATTTACTGCTGGATTTCTTGTCGTTGGGTATTTCGAATCGACAGAAATATGTGACAATCATTTTCGAGGGGCCATGCGCCCCTGCAGACTTCGCTTTCGTTGCCTCGATCTACATTACATACGTTCTCCTGCTGCTGCCGGTGACACTTTCTGCTGCTAACCCCTCTCGTGTTCCCCGTTAGCAGATTTTTTCCGTTCTCTGGTGTTCAAACCATGAATGGGTAGACTATGAACCTTGTGTTGGAACCCTCAAGACGGCGGCGTCGGGGCCTGGGGGGGGGATGCTGTGGTGAAGATCATCCTTTCTTGTCCATCGAGTTCGGAATTTGTTCTTTCACCCTTTCGTCTGTATTTGTTTCCTAAGCTTACCTCACGACGAAAAGCGTCACTCGCGCGTACTGCAGGCGCTGCAGGCTGCTTCGTGTGGCTTCGGGTTCGTGATCCGCTACTACTTTGCTGGCCTGGTATACGGGTCGACATGATCAGCACGGCGTTCTTGCTGTCTAGCTACCTCTCTGCGCGAGCGCGTGTGGCCTCAGGTTCTTCATCCGCTACTTCTTTTCAGGCCTGGTGTACGGGGCGATATGAACGACACGGCGTTCTTGCTGTCTAGCTGCCCCTAGTACCTTGTCGCGCAGGTCTCACTCTTCTTAGTTAGATCCCTGCTCTTCGGCGGCGGCAGTGGCCGCCTCGCTACAAGCCAGCTGCGCAACTCGAATTTGGGTACAAGCTGATACGAGCGCGGCGTGAAGAAGAACGCAGCGAGAGTTTAGGCGTCAGGCATGAACGAGGAACTGGGGTATTTAGTAGGCGTGTAAGGGTGTACGCATAGAGGCGGAACGAAGCATGCGATGGGCTTGCTGGGAGTGACGCGGGACGGGAACGTGTAACCCCGCTCTGCCCGACCGGTGCGTTAGGTACTGAAGCTGCGTTTATTTTCGGCCGCTGTAGCTGCGTTGGTGCGTTCGAATTTGGGTGGAGCAAGGCATCCCTTGGCCGCTGTACCTCCGTTGGTGCGTTGGAATTTTCGGATAGAGCAAGACGTCCCGAGAGAAACACAGCAGGGCTCATATTGCGATATTTTAGGATCTTCGTTGCACCGTACAATACAACCTCCAAGATATTGCCTCGTTGCTATATGAGACTGGCCGCGAAATATGGCCGCTGGCTAGGCGAACATGTTTTCTTTTGAGGAGACCTACTATGCACAGTTTCCAAACGCGGCAAGAACCCTCATGCTGCCTTGCTCGCATACATCGACCACCACGGTATGTGGAGCCCACAAACACCCCATTACGTTGCACAAAGAGAGCATGTAATCACTTTTGCTGGTCACATTTGTCCGACACAGATTGTTTCCACACGAAACTTCGTATCCGTCCGCTTTCTTTCACTATATCTTGACTTGGTTTGTTGTGTTCGAGGCCAGCGTGGAATCCCATCCGCTGAGGTGTTTGAAAGCCTGCGACATGTCTGACGTCGTATCCCCAGTCCACTCGGATTTCTCACGATAAGGTATGATCGTTTTCTTTTTCTCCGTCGCAACGGTTAGACCACGTGAGTGACTGCTGCGCAGTCGTCTCCACGCGTTCGATCGGGGCCGCCCTTGGTTTCTGGGCGGTACCCGACTGAGTCGTGCACTACCCACGCGATCCGAACAATTCCAGCTAGCTCGAGGAGATGATTAGTGACACTTGCCCGTCACCCTGTGTGCGCGCTCTCTGCATCCGCTTTTGAGGGCGGAGCGATAATCCTTGACACCCCGAGCAATACTGTGATTGTGCGCGGCTCGTGCAGTTTCTGGCAAACGTTTGATCTCCCCGAGGTATCGGCTGATGCCGGACGGGAAGAACAAGTGATGTCATCCAGTTTCCACCAGAGGATCGAGCCACGCCTCCTACCCTGCCCCCAAAACCACGCATCATGCTCGTGCACATCTCCGCTACGCAACGAACAAAAGACGTGGGTGCGTTCTCCGCGGTCTGCAAACTTTTCTGCATCTCCATGTGATCCTCGTCCGGGAAATGTAATGTACTGAGCAAACAACGTTCCCGAGACCGTTCCCCTCCACCAGATGGTGGGAAGTACGCCCATTGGTTTCCTTGTCGTGGGCCTGACGTACAGTTACAGAAGTTGATTTCAACGTTTATTCATACAAGCCTGTGCGCGGCAGATAATAGACAACAGTACGTAGGCACCCTTTCCCGGCAACGCCGTCTTTTCGCTCCTAGTCTATACTCACTCCTGTAACTTATTTGCAGTTTGTGCCGCATGCAGAAACATATGGAGATGGATTCATCCGGATGGAGATGGATTCATCCGGGACTACAGACTATGAATATGTTAGCCTCTCTCTTTCGCTTTCCCCTGTTCCTGCTGTTCACAGAGACGGGTAGAGTGCGAACCGGTACCACCCCTGCACACATGTTACAAACGCAGCCAGACTCCGCTTCTGTGCAGCATGGGCCGTGATCATTCTGCACGGTGTGCTGAAATTTACAGACGGTACCAGAGCGGACCGACATTATCTCTGTACGCTTGGAACAAGGACGCTTGATCTCTCAGTCGGCACTACATACTGTAGGTTTCCTCGTCGCGTATTGCTGTGCAGACAGTAGGCTGCATCATTCGTTTTCACCTGGGCACGGTCTCGATTGTTATTTCTGTTCGTACGGAGATGTCCGTATGAAAATCAGAGTGTGGGAGGTATGTCCCGTCCCAGAGAAGCAGCGCGCAGCAGTAGACACCCTGGATCAAGGACTGTAAGTCTAGCCCGTTGTGTTGGGAACCTGTGGATCCGAAATTTTGAAGTATGAAGCCAGTCCTCTGGACTGTTGGTTTTAGCCAACAGGAGGCTACCCCGCATCCACCATACAGCAGCATACGATACCAGGTTTCATGAAAGAGCGTTCCCAACACAACGGGCTTACAGACTATACCTGGTAGTCCTTGGTCCAGCGTGTGTATGTCTACTGCGTTGCTTCTCTAAGACGGTACATATCTCGCACACTACCTCCCACACTCTGCTTTTACCTCTCCCTCATCGGACATCACCAAAACGTCGTACAGTTCTTCGGCCTTACAGCCGGCGGGACGGCAACGGCACCTGCGGCGACGAGGAGATACACGTCGTCGCGAAACTGGAAGAGGGGGGCAGCATGGAAGGCGAGCTGGGCGTGAAGGGGGGGGGGCGGCTGGGGTTCTCCGGTCACGAGCTGCTGAGGCGGCGGCGGCGGCAACGGGTGGAATGGCGGCGGCTCGGAGTTCGACAGAAGCACGCTGGAAATGTGGGCTTGGGATAATCGCACGCGGGTGAGAAGCCTGAAAGCGTTTGGGTCCCACGTTATGGGAGGAGTGGGTGTACTACCTCTCGCAAGTGGTTGCCGTTGTTTTGGGGTAGCTTCGCGACGGTGTCTTGGGGAACACTTTTAGGAGCTGCCCACGGTTCTCGTGGAAGATTTGGACCGCCCTGTTTGGCGTCTTTGCATGTGTACTTGTTTCCGCGTTGGTCTCAAAATGCCTTTGTCATTAGACCCCGATTTATGGGAACAAAATCTTGTCGATAAATCTTGATCTTGGCCAAGATCTGCCAGTTTCACGATTTATGGGAGCGAAATCTTCCGATATGTACTCCCCAAACCCAAAAACAATTAATTAAATCAAACACCCCTATATTTATCACGCTGACATGCCAACAACGAAAATCAGAGCTTTAGCGCCAGCAGAGCAGAGCGCAGAGCCCGCAGGGGGCCGGAGGGGGCGCCGCAAAAAAAAACACTCCCCCCTCGGCGTACAACTAATCATAATGCACTATATGGGAGGGGGGGGTATGTCTTGGCCAAAATTTCTCGAGGCCCGAAATCTGCCCTTTCGAAAAATACTTGACCCAAGATCTGTCGAAACGAGCCTTCGACAAATCTTGAGGCCGCGTAGCAAATGTTGCCTCAGTGCGGCGCGATCACCGAATGTCAGTCAACCTAATCGTCCACAACGCCATGAAATCTGCACGTGACACACTCGCAAGGGTCTCTAACGCACCCTGGCGTCACTGTGTCGGCGCCACGGGCGCCGACAGCGAACGAAAACAACCAAGGCGCGCGAAAAAAGTGCGTGTTTGCCCTGGCTCGTTCCACGTGCGTGCATCATCCCCAGTCTGTCGAGGGACCGTTCAAAGAGTACTTTATTTTGAAGTAGAAAAATAGAGCAGGATGAACTTTTGCCAACACTGCTCTGTCGTGTGCGACGCTTCTATCTCTTCATCGAATCACCCCGCACCCAATCCGTTTGCACCCGAGCCAAATCCGTGGGTGCAGATGACAGCGCCGGAGGTTTGACCTCGGTACGCCTGCTACATCGTGAGATACGTGCATGGGTGTCATCGGCCTCGGGTTATGCACTTTCTTGTCAGTTGGACAGCAATGGAACAGTTTTGTTTCTCCGCTTGACATGAGTTCGTGGGCAACGGATTCAATTTTGCACCCCAGGTAGGCGCCCATCGCTAGTATCCACCCACAGTGTTGAGGCAATACAGCTGGGGGAGGGATGCCCCTTCTAAAACTGCGTCATGCTCACTTTTCGCCACACCTTAGCATTTTCTGTTGACCAAGTGGCCGTTGTGCCTTTTTCAACTTCAAGCAGAAGAGAGGCACAACACGCCGCTTTTTCAACATTCAAGATATTTCCCCCATTAATCGCGATACTGCAAATCTTCGAGGAGATATCGAGCTGTTTTTGCATTCCTCTCGGAGTCCTTGGGTCGTGCCTCTCGCCCCCGTTCCCTCTCACTGCTGCGCCCTCTCCTTCTGAGAGTTACTTTCTATGTGATCGCTGTGGCACGCGGCTCACCTCTAAACACCACATCCGCACCACCCAACAACCACCTGTCTCTCTGAGGCTGGAAAACTCCCACGCGGCTGGCGTCCTGTACAACGGCATTGCCAGCGGAAATGACTTGCTGCCGACTTCGAGATAAGCCGGTTTCTGCGAGGGGGGGGAGTCGCATTGTCGTTTCTGATCGATCCGCAGGACCACGAGGACGTTTGGCCGATTCGGCAGATGCCCCGGGAGTCGCTGCTGCATCCGGTTCCGCTGACCCGCGGAAAGTGATGCGTGGATGTACGGCATGTTCTTGTACGAGGTGAGAGTAGGCGCGGTTGTTGGTGGTGTCGCTCTCTTGTTGTGCGCTGCTGTTGTCTTGGTGGTTGTAGTCGGTGTGGTTGTTGATTGGTTGTCTCGGACAGCCGTGCTGCTTGGCTCTTGTTTTTTTCGTGGAAGCTGGTCAGTGCCTTTAGTGTGCTTGGATACGGTCATCGCTGCTAGGAGGCGTGTCGTCCACACCTGTCACAGGGTCCCGGTCACGGATGACTGGTCCATGCCCAGTGTATGCACCCTTCTCTTCGTGGATACGGTCATGATTGCTGTTACCGGCGTCCCTTCCGGGGGTTCGATGCTTCCCGCACCGCAGCAGCCAGTATCTGGTTCACTACCGTGCTCATTCGACCCGAATAGGAACTCTTGCGTGATCGTGCTGTCGTCGTACTATGGACATTATGTACCTTGCAGGTCTTCGAGGGTCGGCAGCCATGGGCAGGGCTCGAGAAGGCCGAGGTTAAGTGCCTGATATTGGAAGGGAATCCCGCCCCTGAGGCACCGGAGATGCTGAGGCAGCGCGGCGACCGCCTCGTGAAGCTTTACGAGAGCTGCTTGAGCACCGACAGCACCAAGCGGCCGAGCTAGGAGCATGTACTAGACCAGTTCTCGCCTACCTTTGCTACCTCGGATTGAATGGCGCAGGGTGGGGCATGCGGCACTGCTGCCGAAGAGGATAA